CGTCTTTGTGACACTCTCGGCACTTCTTCGGGCATATTTCCCCACAGAGACCGATACAGGGATGCCCGCACGGAAGTAAATTTGTGCACGGCTCATTGCATCGTGGACGATTGCAAAGCTCTCCGCACAATTTCGTGCATGTGTAATGCTGGCACTCCCAAGTACATTTCTCCTTACAGGGATCACAAGGTTCACCACATTTCTTTTCACACTTGTTGTGCTTACAGAACAGTGGCCGGTCGCAGTTAGCTTTGCATTGCACATGAACTCGACCACGGAAACAACGACTGCAGTCACCTAGTATAGTTGAAAAAAATGAAAAGTGAATAGGTATTTGCGAATACTTTCTTCCTTCAATATAAAACATTCATATGAATTTACAACACAGTTTGAACTAAATATCAAAGACATTAAATTTGCATCTCTCACCCATGGGCCGGAAAACAACATCTAATCTCGTTTAAGATCGCTTAAGCTTTTACTTTCATTGCTCCACCCGGGTGCTCGATACAGTCTGGCAGAAACATAAAGGAGGGGGACATTGGGGTTTGCGGTATTGCGGTATTGCACGATTTTCCATGCGGTACTTCGGTAATTTTAATCTCGAATTGCGGTATCGCGGTCTTAACGTTTTCCGAGCCTTTTCCAGTTTCCGATTGGACATTCTCGATGAAACTTAGCTCTCATGGTAACGGTAAATTGCAAATCGTAAAAGGGTATGTCATTTTTTGTTACTTATTAGCCAACCACGCCAACGAATGTTACTTATTTTGCCTAAGTCGAAAATTACCTGGTCTGATGTTCATTAACAAATTCTTAATTGTTATTTCCTTTTTTTCACTCTAAACTTTAACATACAGAGTAGTAGTTTCGGTATAACATTGCGTTTCCATTCGGTATTGAAGTATTGCGGTATTTAGCTTTTTTTGTTTTTTTTGCGGTATTGCGGTATTTGCCGAATTTTTTTGCGGTATTGCGGTGTTCAGAACCCTCCAATGTCCCCCTCATAAAGACTACCCAATAAATAACTATTTCACGAGAGCGCGTTGGATATGTGGTGATAATAATTATGACATCAGTCGAGTTTAATTTGTTATAATCAACTCATATTCAGCAAGCTAGATTGGTTATATTTTTCTTTTTGTTCAGTATCAAATTTATCACTTACTTAATTCAGTATCATGTCAGTATTGTTCGAATGGTAATCTAACTGGATGATGTGAACGTTTAGGTATGATCTTAACGCAGCGAATCAAGTTATTGAAAAGGCGGAAAAGTTGTGGCGTGGTGCTCAATGTGCGAGTTGAATGGCAAGTGAAGGAAGTATCTAGAAACTAGAGAGATTTTCATCCTCACTCATTCTCCTCAAGTAGCTTCAAGTAGCCGTCTATATTTCGGCAAACTGGGGCAAGTAGTAAAGGTTGACGGGAAGATCCGAAATAATCGTACAGTTGCACGTAATGGACAGAAGAGAAAACAACAGCCACACGGTTACGTTAGGGAGAGAGAGATTGGTCTTCCAAGAGAATATCACTATCAGTGGTGATTTTACCCTCCCGTCACAAAGGTTTGCTGAGTCCGATATTTACAGTGCTGATTGAAAGCTTGGTCCTAGTGGACAAACCTTGTCCAAATATAAGGTAACAAACATTGCTAAGCCTTGTTAATTTTAAAAGGTGGCGGACAACAGTTTCCAGGATTTTTTTCCGTTTTACATCACCGGGACTCCCCATCGAAACCCACTAGTATCCCCCCATATCCTATAAACAATGACAGGTCCCATATTTGTTCCCGTCAGACTTACCAGCACAAGGATGTTGACACTTCAAAGTCACACCGCAAGGCACCTTACATGGAATGCGCAGTGGATCAACGTGACATCTTGTCGCATTTTCATGTCCACATGGCCAGGTTTTCACACAGGGTGTTTGGCATTTTATAACAGAAAGGTCGTCGCACATGTAGCAAGGAACCATTTGTAGATGGCCACAACGTGGAAGGGTCTTTTCCAAANCAAAACAACACGTACCTAATCTACCAATAAGACGAAATTGACTTCGTTTTCATTTCAGGTACGGATCGCAGTAACGTGTGTTGGGTAAAGGAAGGATGCAGCTCTCTCAAGCCAGCAGCGTGTTACAGCTTGCCTCTTGAAGTGGTTGATTCAGTTGATTTTGACGTTGCTACGTTAAATCTTCACCTCAACAAGGGATGTTACACAGATGAGAAGAAACCACTACAGGCTCAACTTGACAACGCGCCAGCCTCCTGCAACCCGCCGTGTTTCCGCATCAAGAAGCCTGGGGAGTACTGTTACATGAGCACGCACAATAACAACTTCTCCAACCGACGTCACATGGGACAGATAACTGTTACCGAGGTTGTCGTGGACTCCTAATTGAACTTTGACCATTTACTGACCACTCCAGAAACACGGTGTTTTCGAGGCTTTTGAGATCATTTGGGTGGGTGAGGAAAAAAGTTCAAATCCCGACAACACGGACAGGAAAGAAAAATATTGTTCTCAGCATCTTTCCTCTTTTAGTCCCCTCTCACTCCACATTTGGAACGAGTTCACCGAAAAAACAGTCACTACAAATTAAAAACTTTTCTTTACCTCTATAAAGACAAACAATAACTTTTCAAATTGGTGTACAGCTTTCACATATCACATTTTTGTTTTTCTTAACAATCAAAAGCCTACCAAAGCTTGAACCCAATAACACCGATGTTTCTGGAGTGAGGGAAGACAGAGGAGTTTAATCTTTTTCTTGTTAATTCATGTAGTATACACAGTAACTGTGTAAAGTGATCATCCACATAATGGGGTAGCTAGTGTTTGAGGTACTCGCTCTGAAGCTCTGAGGGGTACAGAAAATATGAATTAAAATAAAAACAGACATTCAAGAGTCTTGTTTTGGACTTTTTTTAAGGACCATTACACCACTTTTCGATCAAAAAAAGAAACGGACAATTCTCGTTGCACCCAGTAAAGCGAAGGAGCTCCAGTGAAAAAAACATCTCCAGTCAATTTGACAGTAAACGTCATCTGTTTAATCGGAATCCAGTATTATGTTGAGAATAACCTTGGTCGAGAAGCCCTTCTTAGCTTCCCAGCTTGAAGGGCTTCTTTCCAATCTAATCTCCTAACCAATATGCTTAAAAAAAAAATCTTAAATTCAACCTTAATCTCTATGTTATTCGCTATGTTCAATTGATAAAAATCACAAATGAAACGACTTAACACGCTTTATCGATTAACTATACTAACTAGACCCTGCTTGGATTTTAGCCGGCAAAATTGCAAAAAGCAACGGAAAAATCAATTGATAGGACTCTTACCTGAAAAATGTAGATAAAATATCTTACTTTAAAGCAGATCTGTTTAAATTTCAAGGCAAAATAGAAGCAATTTCAAAAGCTACCACAAAGGAGAACAAGTTTTTCGTCACTTTACAAACCGAAACATACCCTGCAAGCAGAGCCTTTTCTTACGGTACATATGCTTTGTAACAAAAGATAAAGCAAAAAGAGATAAAAAAAGGCTTTGCTCGCAGGTTGGTCAGTCGAAACAAAGACCCGTTTAATCAAATTAAAGCGAGAGGAAAAATTCCTCACCTTTGGCCTATATTTTGCTTAATGATTGATTGTTAGATCAGTTATCGTGCCTAAGCTCATAGCTGGTACCTTAGTTACAGAAAGTCACAGAAAGTCTCCTGGGTGATAACAAACTGTTGTGTTTGTTGGCAAAGAGGAAGTCGTCCCAAAAGACGTTATCCAAGTAGCTGGCGTATTGCTCAGGACTGATGATTATGGCCACCAATTCAGTGAGCTGCATTCCGGACATTTGTTTTCTTCTATCGCTCCACCACTTTCTGTGATGCAGTAGATGTGACCTTTGTGGAAAGGAAACAGAAAACGAGCCATTGAACTTGCCATGGAATTAAAAGTAAAGAGAAAAGATCGGGGCAGAGAGAAAAGGGACATAACTGGAAAGCAAGTGAAAGCAACTAAGATCTAATCAGTCGACCTTAATGTAACTATGAGTACAAATAAAAAAGATTGATACCTCTTACAAACCGAGATTGAGATCCTCACTGTAAGTTACGGACGGAGTTTTTTCGCCTCTGATATATGGCCTGTGCACTTCTGACCTCACTTGGGCATAAAACATAGATCCGTAACTTAGAGCACAGACTAAGGGTAGTAAATACAATATTTTTTGATATGTCTGACTCTATTGTGTGTCTGACGAGCTCGGCAAACGGACTTTAGCTTGAAATTACTGACCGGTACGTCAAAAGCAAACGAGTCAATTCAGAAAAAGTTGTTAACCAAGTTTTCCCAAAGAGAATTTACATCAAATCTTTTAAAGGCTTTTAAGAGAACTTGATCTTAACGTCACACTCACCCTTTGGACACTTGAACCAGTGTCCCTGTGTAAACCCCTTAGCCTTCACGGTCAGATCCTTATAGTCCCTTTTTACGGCCTGTTTAAGTTCTTGAAGGCCTTGTTCACGTCTAATTCTTTCAATGTGAGCCCTGTATCGCTCTCGATGTTTTTTGTCTGAAAATATCGCAAAGTATTAATAATTAAAATTTCTTGCAATTATCATTAGTGCGTAATTATTTCGAGATAGCTTGCCTGTAATCGCAGGTTCTTTAGCTGGTAAAAGGCTCAGCCTCGTTGGGGAATAGGTGTAAACACTGAAATGCAACCTGCAAAATGCCGTCAATTTAGCAGGCTAACTGAAAGGTAACGACTTAATCCAGCAGGGGGAATAAGTTTCTTTGAACGGGGTAATTAAACAGCTCCTAAATCCTAATTTTTACACACTTTATTTGCTTTCTTACCAATAGTCTTCCCTGAATCCAATGCTTCTTTAACAAAGAAAACCTCCGCTGTGTCAGAAACTCCAAGCTGAACATCCCGGATGTCAAGCTGCATCTTTAACATCCTGAAGTCGATTAGAAGCTGTATTCTGCACATTTCCTCGTTGAGTTCTTCCCGTTCCTGCTCGCTGAATCGAACTCGAAACTCCATCACACGTTTTCGAAGTTGTTCCACTTGACTCTCAAGGTTCTCCTTCTTTTCCTGGGGCAATTCTTCAAAATAGCCTATATTAACTTTGAGTCTCTGAAGGAAAGACAAAAAGCTGATTTGGTTGTCAATCACGTTGATTTGATCATTCGTGAGATTCTTACGATTCAGCATCATACTAATTCTGTCTTTGGGAAATTGGTCAATCTCCTGCAACCTCAATTTGAGCCTGCCTACTTCTAGGTCACGCTCTCCTGATCCTGCATCTATTACAATCTTCTGTTTTATTCGTTCGCAGTCTGCCAGAATCTTCTTAAAGATGTTGCCGTACCTTAAACTGGTGAGGATGGGAACCCTGCATTTTGGGCAAAGCTTGAGTTGGACAGCAACAGGCTTCCTATCAGACGTTGTTTCAGCCTGGTCCATCCACTGATCCATCGCTTCAACCTCAAACACGTGACCGCAGTCTGCCAGCTCCACGAATCTTGCGTTCGGCTCATCTTCGGTTCCGAAATATATCTCTGTCACCTCGTCTTTGTGACACTCTCGGCACTTCTTCGGGCACAGCTCCCCACAGAGACCGATACAGGGGTGCTGGCACGGAAGTAACTTTGTGCACGGCTCATTGCATCGTGGACGATCGCAAAGCTCTCCGCACGATTTCGTGCATTTATGATGTAGGCACTCCCAGGTACATCTCTCGTTACAGAGATCACAAGGGTCACCACATTTCTTTTCGCACTTGTTGTGCTTACAGAACAGTGGACGGTCGCATTTAGCTTTGCATGGCACATGGACTCGACCACGGAAACAACGGCTGCAGTCACCTAGTATAATTGAAAAAAAAGGAAATACGTATTTGCGAATACTTTCTTCCCTCAATATAAAACATTCATATGAATTTACAACACAGTTTGAACTAAATACCAAGACATTAAATTTACATCTCTCACCCATGAGCCAGAAAACAACATCTAATCTCGTTTAAGATCGATTAAGTTTTTACTTTCATTGCAAGACCCGGGTGCTTGATACAATCTGGCATAAACATAAAGACTGCCCAATAGATAATAGAGCGCGTTAGATATGTGGTGATAACATGACATCTGTCGAGTTTAATTTGTTATAATCAACTCATATTCAGCAAGCTAGACTGGTTATTTTTTTCTTTTTGGTCAGTATCAAATTCATCGCCTACTTACTTCAGTATCATGTCAGTATTGTTCGATTGATAATCGAACTGGATGATGTAAACGTTTAAGTTTGATCTTAACAAAGCGAAGTATTGAAAAGGCGGAAAAGTTGAGCGAGGTGTTCAATGTGTGAGTTGAATAGCAAGTAAAGGAAGTATCTAGAAACTAGAGAGATTTTCTTCCGAAATATTGCTCACACATTCTCCTCAATTGCAAGTAGCTTCAAGTAGCCGTCTATATTTCGGCAAATTGTGGCAAATAATAAAAGTTCACGGGAAGATCCGAAATAATCGTACAGTTGCACATTACAGACAGAAGAGAAAACAACAACCACACGGTTAGGGAGAGAGAGATTGGTCTTCGAAGAGAATATCCCTATCAGTGGTGATTTTACCCTCCCGTCACAA